CGAATCTGCGCGCGATGGCGCCTGGCGCTGCTGTGGGGACAGGCGACATGTTAGACGCTCGCTCGCGCGCCAGAACACCACCACCCCTGGCCACCCGCGCCCTTCCTTCCCCGTGTGCGGTGCAGTCGTGAACGGCGACAGAAAATGTCCTGGGAAAGCCGAGCGTGGTGGTGCACACCTGTGACCCCAGCACTCTGGAGGCTAAGACAGGAGGAGCCAAAGTTCAAGCGCAGCCCAGGCAACATAGCAACTCAGTGAGACTTCTGTCTCAAAATAAAAATAAAAATAAAAAGGGCTCAGTGTAAAGGCCCTGGATTCAATAACCAGCAGCACAAAAAACAAAACAAATCTATCTGAAGCCCATAGCGTTGTCAGCTGGCCGACCAGACCCTTCGCTGAGTCATTCTTTTCTCGGGTGTTTGGAAGGACCCCATCCTTGGCTGTGCCAGGGACCCAGGGCACCAATGGATGCTGTGGTCCAAAGCTGAGGACTCCCTGGCTCCTGGGCCGGACCTGGTCTTTTCTAAATCAGTTATCGTCAGAAATGCAGCCCTGGGGTCTGGAGGGGAGCAGGAAGCCCATGTGGGGACGTGGGCGCCCCAGGGCACTGAGCAGCGGGGCTCAGGGAGGTGTCAGTCGGGAAGCAGGTGGAGTCTGTCCCGAGGACACCAGAAGGAGATGGCCAAAGGCCACTCGGTCCCCTTGCTGGGAATGAGTACGGGGCAGGCACGGATGCAGAGACCAAGGCCCAGGAACTGGGTGGGGGGACGGCCCACGGTCCATGCCTCGGTTTCCCTCCGCCCTTCCTCAGGCCCAGGCTGTGCCCCGTGTGGAGCACAGGGGAAGGCCTGCCCAGGCGGAGCTCACCCCGGCATGCCAGCTGCCCCTGCTGTCCCCAGGACCCACCTTCATAGCCGGGCCCGGGTGGCTCAGGGAGGCTCTTGGGAGCCGCGGACTGGCCGCCGGGCACCAGGGGGCTGGTGTAGTGCCACTGGCAGTCGCCACCGGCCGGTAGTGTGCTCAGGAAGAAGCGCGCCACCTCGCACGGGGAGCCCTGGGGCTGGCCAAACTTGGGGGGCAGCACGGGCTTCTTGCTGCCGAAGACAGGAGCGTCCAGGGGGAAGGGTCCATAGCGGTAGGAGAAGGGCAGGCCACAGGGCGG